CACTGGGAAATGTACGCTCCTTCCACACTCTATTGTAAAGTGTGAGAAGGGCACTCAGTGACTTATAGGACAGATGCTTTAGCATTTCATAATACACGCCATCCAGACCTCGTTGAAAGCAAGACCTATGTGTCTCGGCAAATCTCTTTTTCCAAAAGGAAAGTGAGTGGTCTTTATACATATCCGCATGCTTTTCGAACTCTTTCCCAAACCCGCTTACTAGGCGTAGAGGATGTTATTGAGGACACATATGAAATCCAGGAATCCCTCTGGCTCTGCCTTCTTACTTTTCGTGCATTTGCTTTGGCTCTTTTAAAGGCTATGAGGTTTCGCAGAGTAGGATATCTACGAAAAATACCCCATGCTTTTTTCTGTTTTTTCAGTGCTTCATGACAGTCGCGATTCCACCATGGTTTTTGAATATTTTTAGTAGTTTTCCTGATGTTCTAGGAATCGAAGAGCATAGCTGCCTGAATAATAGTATTAGTAACAGCTTCAACAGCGTCATCGATATGCGCATCTTCTACCATTTCATCTGTGAGCTCTGCAATGGAAGAGAAGAGTTCCCAGTCCCAGTCTGCCCTGTCCAGTATAAAATCGAGGGGATCTCGACATGGGGTTTGCTCCTCTTCGTGCAAGAGACACAAAAATAGGATAATGATCGCTGTTGTACAGGTCATTTCCGACACTAAAAGTGCAAAATGGCAACAGAGATGGTGAACAGATGGCAAGATCGAGAGCGTGGAATGTCCTTGAAGGCTCATGGAAGTACGTATCTTGCCCATTATTTAGGAGACAAAGGCTATGATCTTCGATCATCTGCTCAATTTGTCTTCCTCGGCAATTTGTATCTTTTACTACCCCAGAGTGGACTATGGCCGTTAAAATCTCCTATTATGATATAAAGGCTCAGGCAGCTGCTCTATTAGATTATTTAAATCTTGCTGATAAATGTGCTCATTTGGAGGCAAATACAAAGAAACAAATGAAACAACAATATCAAAATTTATTTGAGTAGCGACAACTTGGAGGGATGTCGTCAAAGGAAGTACATTTGAGGGATAATCCAGTGAGGAGAGGAGACCTACACCTCCACTGGCACGCTCACCTGCAAGGTTATCCTTCCTGACGAAAGAAAACCTCCGAAGTTTTGCATGGTGTTCTGGTTTTCAGATTTGTTTCCTGTATTGCGAAGCACACAGGATGATACACATTTATTATAGATTTGATGTCAAGCAAATTTCGGTGGAAACCGCGACAGTTCCATGACACGAGGGTGGCCATTATGAATGGTTTTTGTTTTTTCCTGTGCTGTTCTTTTGTTTTTCGTGGAAGTAGATGCCTGGGAAATTCTAGACCCTCTTCTACTTCCATAAAGTCTGAATCCGCAGATTCAGAAATCATTCATCAAGAGAGCTATTGCTGCGACTTCTATTTTTATTTGATATTTTTTGTGTGGCAGTTTTGGGCTTACTTTGAATAATTGTTTCTTTCTTTTGTACTATATGAGTTGCATTTTCTTTTTTCTTGTTGGATGTAGACGGTTGGGTTTTTATTTGGTAGGGTCTGTGTGCCTATTGATGTTTGGGTGGCGACTGTACGAGATGATTTTAACAGCACTGGCGTATGATGAATTTGGTCGAAGCTGTGTGCTCTGGACTAGTCTTCTGGCTTCGGCATATGAGATGTTCCTAGTAACTTTTGCAGTCTGCACTTTCTTTTTCCGATTTCCATTTTGGGCAGAGGCGTGAAAATGCTGGGTGCTCACCCTTGCAATTTATACAAAGGCGCAGCGGTACAATTTTCAGAATCGTGGCCAATCTGTGAGCATCGGGCGCATGTGAGGCTGCCACGACAAGACGTCTTAGAATGGCCGAAACGCTGGCATTGGAAACATCGCATAGGGTTTGGAATATAAGGTCTTACAGGAATATTTAGATATCCGGCCTTAATATTCTTAGGCAGATCAGGCGTGTTGAAGGTAAGGATCACGTGTTTCGTGTCTATCAACTTACCTTCTTTACGCATCTTGATCCGCCTTACACCGCAGACATTTTGTTCGGATAGCTCAGAAGCGATCTCTTCTTCAGAAACATACAGAAGGTCGAATTCTGAGATTACACCACGACAATAGTTCAGTGACTTATGTGGTGTTACAGTGACATTCGCTTGCCCAAGTTTTAGTTATCTGAAGTAAAGAAGCAGACTGGGTGGCTGAGTGTTGTATCAATAAGCAAGTCTCCGGAGCGGAGACGCTTTATGTTTCTCGGCTCACCAATACAAGACTGGATGTATTTGTTTATTACGAAAGGAGACATCTTATGCATTTCGCCAGAAGGACTAGAGATGACTAGGAAACGGGGACTATTGTTATGATTTTTTTCATTTGCATCTGTCCGTAATTTTTTTGCAGAATTTTCAGAACTAGGTTGAGCGACAGGTTGAGTGACTGGTTTAGTAGGAGACGTTTCAGAACTAGGTTGAATGATTGGTTTATTAGTAGATGTTTCAGAACTAGGTTGAGTGACTGGTTTAGTAGTAGATGTTTCAGAACTAGGTTGAATGATTGGTTTAGTAGTAGATGTTTCAGACTAGGTTGAGAGACTGGAGTGACTTCGAAAGTTTTTTTAATAAAAAATATGTGATTTGCCATATTGAAATAGAAAAGATTCGGGTCCGACGGCCCCGCCCACCACGGAGCCCAACAAGGGAACACAGATTCCTGTGTTAGGGCTAGCCGGACCTATACGCAAACTGAAGCCCCACAGTCGGCTTTCCCGAAAGCAGGTACTCCCGAGAGCTTGACCCCAAGCCACTGACACAAGGACTAGTGACCAGCCGATTGACACCCGTGAGGACGACTAAGGTGCCTCCCGTTTAGCTGAAGCAGAGGCCAAAGCAGTGTGTTGGGGACAGTACCTCGCCCCTCAACTACCAGGACCCTCCTTTCCAGCGACACGGGTCTCCACGCACGGCAAACACGTGGGCAGTTTTCTCGCCACTCGAAAACTAGAAACAAGGTCTGTTCCAGCCTCTCGTGACGAGCCCCAAACTCCGTAGAGAGAAACCACAAGGGAGAAGGGAAGGGAAAAAGTTCCAGCCAAGAGGAGAGGAGACGGAAAAGAGGATAGATCACTGGGGCTCCAGGATCGTGACACCCGTCTCACCAAGAAGATGATCCCCTGAAGGGCTAGGGTACCTCGGGATTGCCACACCCGTACTCACAAAAGTGAGCCCCCTGAGGAAATGGGGAGGAAGCAGAAAAGGCTGAACTAGAGGCACAAGTGAGTGAGTGAGAGATTATGGACCGCACGCCAAACACAAGATGGGATCATTACAATTGATGACTTCAATAAATAAATTCAATAAATAAACAAGTAGACAAATGTACCAAATCCAGAGGATGGAGTCATATAAAAACAAATTAAAAGCACATATTAAAATTCAAGACACAGTCTTCAAAACAAATTACATTTGGTAATAAAAGCCAGTCTCTTTCAAATAATAAAACAAACCACAATTGACCTCTATTCCAATTAAACGGTCGAGAGGCAAGTCACAGCTATTAAAATATTTCTGGCGAAGCCTATTAAAACATGGACACTCAATTAAAATATGACGAACAGATAAACAAACATTACAGTTAAAACAAACAGGCTCATTTTCAGCTTTTAAAAGGTAGCTATGTGTCACTCTAGTGTGACCAATTCTGAGGCGAGTCAAAAGAACTTCCTCCTTACGATTTTTGGTTAATTCCCAGTGCTCAATTCTAGGTTTTACATGTCTTAATTTATTTTGAAGCTGAAACATCCCAAAGTTGTTGCCATTTGTTTCGGATCTTTTGTTTCACAACACAACAAATGTCTGCAAAAGGGATGAGACGACTGGACAGTTCAACAGCACATTTTGCTGTGATATCTGCCAGCTCATTCCCTTTTTATTCCCATATGCCCGGGAACCCAGCAGTACAGGATTTCATATCCACGATTGATTAAGTTTATATGTATTTTGAGAATATCCACTTATTACTGGATTTTGAGTATTAGGAAAAGCTTCTAATTGATTTAAGAGCACTATACTGTATAAATCTGTAATAAATTATAAACTTTTTGTAGCAGAGCCTTGAGATGTATAAAAGACTATAATATATTGCAGTTAGTTCAGATGTTAAGACAGAGAAAGCATTGTGCAAGCGTCTGCCCTCCATGTAATCTTCAATTACAAATGCCATCCCGACATGATCTTTTGACTTGGATCCATCTGTATATACTGGAAGATAACTGCTATATTTGTGCCTGTGCTCAGCGAAGAGTTGTCTGTAAACATAATCTCGTTAGTGCTTGCCTTCACATGATACTTGAAAACATCAAGAAGCTGAATTCCTGTGCATTTTTCCAAGGTGGGATTTCAAAATTCTGCACTGCTTGGGGGTGCATATCAGAGAGGGAAAAGTTCCTCAATGACAGGGCGAACTCTTAAAAGGAAAGGTAGGAACACAGGATGGACGTGTTTCAAATAACGACGTTACACACATTCATCAAGTAAGCACAGCTTATTGGGATGTTCAGGTTGGGATAGAATATTAAAATATTGCAAAAGGGACAATTGCTCACGCCTCAGATAAAGTGATGGTTCATTACAGTCAACATACAGGCTCTGGACAGGAGAAGTCCTGAAAGCTCCTGAACAGATCCGTAGAGCTTGATGGTGAACAGGATCCAGTTTTAACAATACTGATGACCGGGCGGATCCGTAAACTTTAGCGCTTCAAACTCTTACAGGAATTCCCCCACTTGACTTGCAGGCGGAACGGGAATCTATGCTTGCCAATGTACTTTGTCTTCGTAATAATTTTCAACTCTGGGATACTACATTTTATTCTCATGATTATCAAACACTCTCATATCAATATATTTGTTCACCTGCTGATTATAATATACCAGCGAAAATATTTCTTAATTGTGTCACTGTCCCAGAGACTACATATACGTTTTATACTGATGGCTCTAAAATGGCAGCTGGTACAGGATGGTGCAGTGTGTGGTTTTCGGGGTCTTGACCATTTTATCTCTTGGAAACGGAGCCTTGCCCTGTCAAACTCGGTTTTTCAATGTGAACTTCTGGCCTTGCGTAAGGCTGTACGCTTGGCACTATCATTGACTCCTCATACTTCATCTATTTTGACTGATTCTTTATCTAGCTTGCATGCTCTCTTACAGTTTCAGAGTCGAAATCCGCTGGTTCGAGACATTCAACGGTTATTACAAGCTTGTCCTGTCACTCAGAGGCCGTCCCTAGCTTGGATACCGGCTCATGTTGGTATTGCAGGAAATGAGGCGGCAGACCTGCTGGCTAAGGAAGCTGTTTGTAGCACTTCCATTTCATTTTCCTCTTCTTTCCCTTTTCCTTCTTCTCACCTTAAGCGGGTTTCTTTAGCTCTTCTTCAAGAACATTGGCAACGCCGTTGGGAAAATGGTTCAGTAGGTCGGCGTACCTTTTCATTTATTCCCAAGGTCTCTCTTGAATTACTCTCTACTTCTTCTTCAACAACCTGGTTCTTAACGGGACATGGCCCTTTTCCTCAATACCTTTTTCGATTTGGATTTAGAGATAACGATCTGTGCACCTGTGGACAGGTAGGCGACCCAGATCACTTTTTATTTCACTGTCCGCATACATTATTACGTTTACATATGCAGTTAACAGCGGATTCTAATCTTCCCCATTTTGTATCACATCTTAATGCACATCCTTATTTGGCAAATCAATTACAACTCGTAATGCAATATTGCAGACAAAACTACGTTCAATTCATACAACATTAATTATAATAGACATTTTGAATTTTGTATGACATTTAACATTCTAATTACTGTTGATTGGTGCTACTTTCTTTGTGGCACAACAAAGATCTAATATGATTTTAGATATTATTCGTCAATATTACCTTCAGTATTTCTTTACTCAACTATTTACTGTGACTGAATATCAACTATTATGCTGGATTTCTCATTTTATGTTGAGGCCAGGAACAGTGTTTGTTACAGAAACAAACTTAATTGTCTTTGTATTTACTATTTGTAAATATTGCTAATTACAACTCTACTCAATTGTTTATAATTATTGCATGTACACTACTATTACTCATACATTGCTGGACTTCTCATTTCCTGATGAAGCCAGGTAGTGTTTTTTCCTGCAAACACAGACTTAATTGTTTTCGTAATTGTATTATGTACTGTGAATTGCCAGGACACACATGTCATGCTTGTATCAACATATTAGTTTACTGTCTTTCCTGGTAGCAATGATGGACAACAAGAGACTAATAATGATAGTGGTATCTTTTGAGATTTTCATTTACGATTTCATATCATGCTATGCTACAATGTCAACTGATACAACGCACTGTATGTCACGCTTCAAGAAGAGGTCAAGTTATGTTCTAACTTTTTCAACTTATAAGAATTGATATATCACAACAGTGTTTGATTTTATCTTTCTTCCAATGACATCAAGTGACTGTCACACAGTGCTGGACATCTTATTCTTTGATGACGCCAGATTGTGTTCTTGCTGCAAACACAGACCTAATTACTTCTGTGAATGTTACAGCATAGTGTGAATCATCATGACATATATGGTGCTTGATATTAGACTTCATGCCGAGATTGAAAGTGTCTTCGCTGTAAATGCTTCCTATTTTTTTTCTGTTCCATTGTTCATATTATACAAGTATGGTACAAACTTAATGGTACTAGCGGAGTCTATTGTGTTTTCAAATGATTTTTTTCGGCTATTCACTGCTTACGTTTTTCATTTTTATGCAATATTCTAACATGACTGCCAAAGTATGCACAGTGTTGGACTTCGACTTTATATTGAATCCCTGTGATATTTTCTATTACAAACTATTATATTGCATAAACTAACTCTTAACTCTAGTGCATTATGTAACTTTTACCCTCAATCTCATTGCTAATTTTATTTACTCCTATGCACTATTTTAACATGAACTGCAAAGGTATGCACAATGTTGGACTTCGATATTATAATGAAGCCATGTGATATTTACACACCGCAGACACTGACTTTTTCAGCTATTGACTATTATTATGCACATAAACTAAATAACAACTCTTGTGCATTATACAACTGCTACCTTCTTTTTACACAATTGACTTTCGCGTTAAATATCATTCTCTTTTTGCTGTATCCACTCACCTGGTGTCTATTTTTGTAGTCTTTCATATTATATTCTTGTAGTAGTCCATGCCTGTGAGCAAACTATACTATTTATATACATTTTGTAACCTTGTCCTGTAACCTTTTTTATAAAGCAAAAATAAATGCCGTCTGGTCTGTTGGGCCCTCCTTAGGTGGTGGTCCACGGATGGTAGATTGATTTTCTGGTGGGATGGCACTACTCCCGTTTGGCACTTTGTTCCTTAGGTCAGGAGCCATCCTATCCAGTGAGTTGTCCCTATCTACTACTACAACTTCTACTTCCGCCGTAGTCTGACGCGCTCCGCTGGCTGCCTGTAATTTACTTGTTTTCTTGCATAAATTCAACATAATGCTTTCTTCAAATATATTAAAACGATGTCTAAATGCTTTATCTCGTCATTTATGCAACAAATTTTGTGTTTTCACTGCATTTTCATCATCTCTGGCGATCGTAGAGGAAACTAATCGATATGCTCACGAAATGAAAAATAAATTGAATTATAATGTGACTAAAGATGAAATAAAAACATTTATAGGATTTCTGATACTTTCGGGCTATCATACTTTACCCAGTGAACGGGACTACTGGGCAGAAGCAAATGATTTAGGAGTAACAATAGTGAAGAATGCTATGACTAGAAATTTTTCTACTTAAAGCTCAAAAGATTATTGCATTTCATAGATAATAAATTACATCAATATAACAAGAATGATAAATCATTTAAAATACGTCCCTTGTTAGAAATGCTTTCCAAGAATTTTCAAAAATGCGGCATTTTCCATGAAAATTTGTCTGTTGATGAATTGATTGTCCGGTATTATGGTCATCATACACTGAAACGGTTTATAAAATCTAAAGCTATTAGATTTGGGTATAAACTCTGGGCTCTGTGTGGCAACGATGGATACTGTTATAACTTTGCACTGTATTGTGGAAAGGAAACAAATACTTCCGAATCTGACAAACTGCCTTTAGGTACAAAAGTGGTGCTAAATCTACTATCTATTGTAGAAGATCCGAAGAGCCATCGTGTTTATTTTGATAATTTTTTTACCAGTCATGCGTAACTAAAAAAACTGAAAGAACTGAAGTTTAGAGCTAGTGGAACAATTCCGAGAAAATCGTACTGAAAAATGCCCAATAATGGATGACAAGAAAATGAATAAGAAAGAGAGAGGGTTTTACGATAGTAAATTTGACACAACAAATGAAATTCTTGTTGTCAAATGGAAAGACAATAATTGTGTTTCATTGGCCACTAATTTTGACACAATAATGCCGCTATCTTCAGTATAAAGATGGAGTGTAGAGAAAAAAGAAAAGGTGAAAGTAAATCAGCCTCATGCTATAAGTTCCTATACCTCATTTATGGGGGGTGTCGACCTTCATGATTGGCTTCTTGAGAAACATTCTATAGCCATACGAGGAAAGAAATGGTATTTTTATCTTATTACTAGGATGATAGATATGGCTGTTGTAAATGCCTATCTCATTTATAAAAGGATCCATCGTTCAATGTCAATCAAAGATTTTAGGAGATACATTGCAGTAACCTATTTGAAAAAAGGAGCCGACTCAAAAGCAATCCTAGGAAGACCAGTACAAAGGAGGATAACATGCAGATCGAACGTGCTTCCTGACATAAAATTCGACAAAATACAGCATGTTATTGGTAAAAGAGATAAACAAAGGCGTTGCCAATATGACAATTGTGCCTCAAAGCCAAGAACATATTGCATGAAATGCAATGTAACATTGTGCATTCAATGCTTTCCTCTTTTCCATAAAAAAAACTATCTTAAAAATGTAAAAAAAAAAGTTTTCTTACACATCTTAAAATAAATTTTGATTTTTAACATTATTTTGTCTATTAGTTTGTTTATATATTAAAACTAAATCATTTTTATGTAAAAAATTTTGATTTTTAAAAATTTTACATTTACATTTTTATATACAAACGCCCAGTGTCCTCAAATGAGGATGGCTTAAAAAATATGGTTGCAGTTAAAACTTTTCAAAATGCTTTTTAAATACTTTAATTTATGCATTTCTAACAATGTCTATCAATTTCAAGGCCAAATTTCAAGAATTGTTAATTTGGGCGTTAATGGGTTAAATTAACATCACACATACCTGTATGCATCAGTTAAATAACACTGAAGGAAATATGTCACTCACTCATTTCGATGTTTGCATCATAGTGTGGTCGAGAAATTGTTCTTTCCTCACGGTGAGGCATGTATCAGTTTACTTAGTTTCGCAAATGCTTAACCCAGACGCTGCTTCAATACATAGAATTACGTTTGGGATGTAAAGAAAGTAACCAAAACATGTGAATGAAGTTGGATAAGCGAATTTATAACTAATCATTCAGGATACTCAGTATTGGTAAACATGACACTGAGTTTAAATATCTCACTACGATATAAGTCTCATACACAAAATGAAGATTATGATAAAAAATGATTTAAAATGAAAATTTTTCAATTTTAAATGTAAAATACCTAAATATAAAATAGCAGTAAAAATGAAAAATGCAAAATTACATCACAGTTATGTATGAAAACTACATAAATTAATTAAAAAAATATTTATTTTATCTGGTTGTAAAGAGTGTTTTCCTGGCAAAAAAAACGTATTAACGTGTATAATTCTGACACAACGCTATAGCACAATTTGCCACTTCCGCCTAGGTATAATAGCAAATTAACAACACAAATTAAATTAAACTGTTGATGCAACGAAAGTAAACAAACGACCAAGAACTAACGCTGTCACCCACATGACGTCATGTGTATGTGACATAACTTTCTTCCTGCACTGCGCATCGCTCTTCGGCCCCCCTGGTCGACCATCTGCAGTAAATGTCGACACAATAACTTATGACGATTTTGATCCCTACGCACTAATAAATACAGAGCAACAGTATAGTGAGAAAATAGATATTCTGTACTCTTGTGTACACAACATTGCCACCACATATAGAGGTGGAAAGCATATTCTGCCTTCAGATTTACGAGAAAAACTTGTTCACTCATTGGAGGCTCTCAAAACATTAGCGCTACAGAGACCAGACTTTGTCCCACCACCTCCCACGGCAGACGCGGAGGTTAATACCTCCACCTTAGTGTGTTGTGAATTACTACATCAGCAGATTCCCAGTTCAATCTCTCTGAACTCTGAGCAACCAAATTCTGCAGCAAACTGCCAACCTCCATTTGAGTCCACTACAGCCTCTGCCTCTCATATCGAATCCGTGATTCCACCACCCACATCCTTCGCAGACGCAGTGCGACAAGTCAAGCCCAGTATTATAATCAAATCAAAGAAAAAGCAACAGGTCCGCAATTACGTCAAGAGCTACAGACACACGCTCCCCTTAACACATTACAAGACGGGTCAGCAAAACTTCCTCCTTCCGGCTCCTATTTGACTCCCCAGCATTCAATTTTTGGTTTGATACTTTTCAGCTTATTTGCTGGCTGAGTATCCCAGACTTCCTGCCATTTAAACAACAACTTGTCCTTGATGACTTTACGGATGTCATTAAACGGGACGAGGTGATGCGCAAAATGAACTGCAGATTTGGCTGTGATG